CCCGTGTGGACTCTCCGGTGCGATTTGAGGTGGGAGCTCCGGCTGAAGCCCTTCCCGCAGTCGGGACACAGGTAGGGTCGCTCAGCCGTGTGGTTACTCCGGTGGACCAGCAGGTCCGTGCTCCGGCTAAACATCCTGCCGCAGTCGAGGCAGCGGTAGGGTCTCTCTGCTGTGACGTGCTCTAGCAGGGCCGTGCTGTCAGCTCCCTCCTGGTGAGACAGGTGTGAGCGCAGACGGACACTTTCCCTACCCTCAACACTTTGACGGGGTCTCTGCCCCGAGTGGCAGCGCTGGTGTTTGGGCAGGTTCCAGGTCTTGACGAAGCTCTTCCCCCAGTCGGCACAGACACAGGGCTTGACCCCAGCGTGGATCCCCCGGTGCCGCACCAGATGTGACTGCTGCATGAAGCCTTTCCTGCATTCGGGGCATTTGTAGGGTCTCTCTCCTGTATGGAGCCTCTGATGTGCCATGAGGGTCGACCTCCGATCAAAGCGTCTCCCGCAGTCGGGGCACTGGCAGGGTTTCTGCCCCGAGAGGATTCTCTGCTGGATGGCGCGGGCTGTGCTGGGGCTGGAGCTTTTCCCAGCCTTGTGCACCGTCTGATGTCTCAGAAGATGTGATCTCCAGCGGAAGCTTTTCCCACAGCGGAGACATCGATGGGCGGTCCTGCTCGGATGTTCTGGAGGCACCGAGCTCTGCTGGAAGCTTCCCCCACATCTGTGGCATGCGTCTTCTCGGGGGGTTCCAGGACAGAGCATCTCTCGTGAGCCCTGCCCACATTCAGCGCCTGCATTTCCTGTCCCTCTGTTCTGCTTCCCCTTAAGGTCCAGGAGCTTTTTGAGTTTCTTGAAAAATCCCTCTTCAGGAGCGGATTTACCCTCTCTCTCCCCGGGCAGGTTTCCCCGCTGCTCCTCTGACCTGCCCTGACTCTCGCTAGCTTCTCCCTGGCAAACCTTCCCCTGGGACCTTCCTGAGAACGTCCAGTGTGGTTCTGCCAACTCAGGACCTCCCTGCTGGGGATTCTCCTCCTCGTTCTCACTGGCCGTCCCATCACCTGCTGGGGGAAGGAGAGAACCCAGCATGAGTCACTCCCTGTGCTGGGTTTGTCACACAGGCAGAAGCTTTTGCCAATCTGAACAGTCAGTAGCTGAATCTTCCCCAAACTCCTCCCCACAGCTGGAAACTCACGAACTTCAGCATCGATACCACAGTACAGAGGATGGGAGAAGGAAGGGAATACCTGCTTGGTGCATCCACAGCTGTTCTCCTCGCTCCATGTGGGAGATCAGGTCAGGTTTAGGGATGGGGAATCCTGCCCCGGGGAAGAGAGAACAGGAGAGATCAGGGCTGGTTACAGATTCCCGGTTTCCTCATTACACAGAGGATGCTGGGAAGATCCCAGCTCTATGTTCGCCAGCGAGGACCTGCAACCCGAGTAGATGGGAAATGCCCATGGTGACTTACCCAGCCAGGTCACAGTCTCATAATTCTCCCGCATGACGTCCCTGTAGAGGGCTCTCTGAGCAGAGTCCAGCAGAGCCCACTCTTCCACGGTGAAATACACAGCCACCTCCTCGAAGGTCACTGCCTTTGCTGCAGCCATTCCCTTTTCCTGCCCTCTGGGAGAATGGAACAACCTGGAGCGAAACACGGATGTTCTTCTGCAGCCTGTCAGG